CACATCAAGCCAATATTGGTGTACTTACTGAGGCCATGGCTGGAGCATTATCAAGGATACATGTCTCCTTTGATGGCTGGACGACACGTCAACAGAGATTCGCACTTATGGGGTATTGTGTCCATTTTATAGGCGCAGAAGGTGAGTAATAAGTCCAGTATGAAGTTGAGTCTATGAGGAATAAGATGCTGACAAATATACTATCCATATTAGGCGAATTTCACGACTTCCTCCTCGATATACCTGAGATAATAGGTGCCCATACAGGCTCAAATTACGCCGAACTCACTCTCTCTACGCTTAATCAATACAACCTCAATTCAAAGAACCTCGGCTACTTCGTCCTCGATTCTGCGTCAAACAACGATACCGCTATAGAGTATATCTGTGAGGAACTCCAGATAGGAGCTAGTAATGAGGACGATTGGCACCCAAATCTTCGTATTCGGTGCTTCTGTCACATGATCAACCTCGTCGCAAAGAGTATCCTATTTGGGAAGGATAAGCTCGCCTATGAAGACGCACCAGATTCCAAAGATGAGGATATATTGATTGATGAATGGCGTAAATTTGGGCCTCTTCGTACTCTTTTCGCCATCATCTGGCATATTAATACACCAGAACGCCTACGACGATTCCACGACATTCAGAGAGACATTAATAATAGTCTACCTACGCCGGGTACGTCACTCTACAGTATTTATTCTATTACTTACGTTTACTCTTATAGACCCTCATTTTAAGCCACTAGATGTCATCACACCTGTGAAGACACGCTGGAATAGCCACATATCCGCGATCGAACGAGCAATCAAGCTTAGAGAAGCCCTCAACCAGTTTTCTCAATACTATATCAACCTAGTCATACAACGTGAGAGAGTTAAGGAGGTAGAAATGAAGCGTAAGGAAGCTATACGCGTAAAGGCAGCTCGTGAGAGAAACAGACACACCCAATCAGGCTACCAGCCTGGTACTTCAAGAAAGCGTTCAAGGCGCTATCTTGAGACTCAGGCTGATGATGATGAGTCTATTGAGTCTCCTATAGCTCCACCAATGAAGACTCCTAAGAGACTCGACAGTCGGAGCCAGGAGCCTCTATTTGTCCAGGTTGGCGGCCTTACTCACTATGATTGGGACGTGATAGAACAATACCTCGAGTTACTACTACCACTCCGAGTTGCTACTCGTCGCCTAGAGGGACGTAGGCCTAATAGTGAGTTCGGGGCTATCTGGAAAGTCATCCCTATTGTTACCTACCTCATGGAGCACTTCGAGAGACTCAAAATACGGTATATGGTCCCTGATTTGATGAATGAAGATGAGATGACGACGGAGACACTTGCTGACGGAGACCACATGATTATTGCTATCAACAACGGCTGGCTGAAGATGAATAAATACTTCATAGCACTCAATGAGTCTCCCGCGTATTACGCTGCTACAAACCTTCATCCAAACCTCAAGACCTTCTGTCGAAGCGCGTGGGATGACTTCGAAGATGCTGAGTCTATCTTCAAGCAATATTGGCAGTGGCATAAGAGACAGTCAACTGGCGAGGAGCCTATACAGACATTGGTATCACCTACAACACCGTGAGTGGTACATCACGACCCTATCACCACGGATATTGATAGCTTCATCTCTCAGCACTCCGAGTTACCCGAGGAAGAACAGTATGAGGTTATTGAGGATGAGCTTATCCGCTGGCGACGTGAGCCTCCTGTCGGCCATGATAGTAAATGGGCCAACGCGCCAATAGCCTTCTGGATAGCTCGTCAAGATGACTACCCTCAGCTTAGTCGACTGGCGATAGACGTCCTCAGTATCCCAGCCTCAAGTTGTGAGTGTGAGCGCGCCTTCAGCGAGGCTGGAGATATGATTACTGCTCGTCGAGCAAAGCTTCATCCTACGATAGTACGACCAGCACTCTGCTTGAAGTCGTGGGTAGGTAAAGGACTCATTGATTTATAGTCTGCCTGAGTCGTGAGGCCAACAATGTACTTTTCCGTTCTATACGGCAATCGACTCAACTCGACAGAGGGTGATTCCACTGGAAAGTCTCGGATTTTGGCTATTTCCTCGGTTTTTGACTTGAAGTCACATATGAGTGACTATGTATGGATATACTCATCTCTCGGTTTCTCTATCTCCTTCCTAATCGGGTAACTATTGTATAAGCGATTCAATTCAACACAAGCAATCTCAATCCCTTGGCATAGATTCCAAGCTCAATCTGTACTTTTAGGGTGACTAATCATACAATTCTAATCTAGGACCTCAGATTGTATCCGATTGTAGATGGTCATGTCTGCTACGTTCTCAATCGACCTATACCCTGTTCCGCTGAATACTGGTATACTTTGCGAACAGCACTAAGATGAGGATCAGTCGACATCTAGGCTATTGTTTACGGTTTATGGTGCAAGTTCTACCATGGCTACACACTATAGGGGTATATCTTAGGTTCATACTTAAGCCAGGTTTCAGCTGGACTTGCATATGGGAAATCATGAGTATCTTATGTGCAGGCATCCTAATATTTCTTTTCAGCATAACCCTCTTGGCTACTGTAGCATTCTTCATCTTCGCGCTACATGGTCTCTGTCGCAACATACAGTACGTCTCGCAACTGTTTCTGGATCCCATTGTACAACGGTTGACAAGACTAGAGACCGAATTCAGCAGAAGGACAAAAGTATGCATTGATAGCGCGATTGGTAGAGGCAATGCTTGACTAAGGACAGATAGGGCACTCTCAAGCTTCAAAGCTCTGTTGCTTGCCACCACGTAGATCTTTGTTGACCCTCTGAAGGGCTTGTTCAGCATCTTGTGACAGGGATATACTGGACTTGCCCAACCATCGGAGATATATAGTGCGGAGAAGGGGGATATCCTCAGGCTTGAAGGTACTTCCATGAACCATTTCTTGCCACGATGCCCACAAGTTGGCTTGGTCAACTGCGTTAAACCTACCGTCGCCATGTTTCAACCGAATGCCTACAACTGAAGAAAGCTCCTCGAAGCACTCATTAATCATTTTGGGCTTGCGATCGGGTGGCGAATGCAATATCCGTAAGGATTCTGCGCTAATCCCCACCGCTGCGTTATGTATGGTATCGTTTTGAGATTCAGTGGGGGCCATGGAGTTTTGGCTTTCGAGAAGAATTCGGGCTCTCTCATAGGCGTCTTCTTCGTGCGGGATAGGATCCTTTCCGAAATGAAGGTAGTGCCGAAAGACGGAAGGACATAATGAGGAGACACTAGCTAGAATTAATCCCTTCTAGGAGATTAGCAAATTCTATGGCACTCATAAGGCTCCTCACAGCTTGAATGTTGAACACAGCGAGTATCAGTGCGACTACAGACA